AGCCACGATGCACCCAGATAGCCTAGCAGGGGGGACCCTGGGGCAGGGGCCACATCCTTGGGTGAAATCCTGTCCCACTGAAGTCAATGACAAAGCTCCCACCGACTTCAATAGGGGCCAAATTCCACCCACTGCTACTGGTCCTTGTCTTATTTACAGTGCATTTAATGTTTGTTACTTTTGTTCCCTGTCCAAATTCTTGTGCCTTGACTGTATTGTATTTTCAAGTAAAGTAAGATATTCTTCCTCCTCTTATCTAACGCTTAACGTACCTATTATATCAGGTTGATAGATTTCCTTCCCCATTAACAACATTTTAAAAAGGGACATTCTTCAGAACAATCCCATAAGAAAATAAGCAAACTTGCATCTGGTTAACAGCAAGAAGTAAACCATAACAAACATCTGTCCAGCAAAACATAAAACACTGCGTGTAAAAATAAGCTGACAGAGCACCATATTACATAAGCAGCACCATCACTTCCTAAACAATTACAATTTGTTTCAGCTTCTGAAAAACCACTCCTTATCTATTTCAAGGCCTTGCTGCTCCTGCAAATTGGAGAAGAAAAATTCTCAGAAGAGCATAAAATTAAAGCCGATTATGCAGAACAAGGAGTTTTCTAATAAGGAAAGAAGAAAGCCTGACCCTGCTGCATGTCCATGAACTCCCCAGGTACCTCCTCGGAGGAAGTGTGAGCAGAAATTCCCACTTAACGTTGCCCCACATACACTTATATCCATTCTGAAACACATGGAAACCTCTGCTGCCATCAGTACCCTTCCCTCACAGCAAAGTAATGTCCCGTGGACAGTCTTATTTCTCCTCAGCATCCTTTTGGTCTTCAACAAATGTATCCCCCATACAGTTGTACCATCACTGCTACTAGTCTGCAGAACAAAGAGCTTGTGCTTATGCCACGTTGGTATTTTTGGCAAACAACGTGGAATGGGTTTGGCCCTCTATTTTTAGTTTAAACACAGGTCAGCTCCCTGAACAAGTGTGTAGTGATGATGCCAACTTTTTGATCAACACATAACCAATTTGGGAGCCCTTTCCAAAAGGTTGTTTTTGCTATTTCTATCCCCAAGGTAGAATCATTCACAGAGAAGTCCAATGCAGAAAAAGAAGAGGTGGAAAACCCCAATTCCTACTACTACCATTAGCATTAGAGATATTTTTGGGGTGTCAGATTTGACTGTTGACTCCTAGATGCAAAGAGATTGTAAGGGACCAAATCAGAACCACTGAATGCTTTTTGAAGCATCATTCAGAAATACAATGAGGAAAGACAACAGTCACCAAG